AAGTCAAATTTGAATTTTTCTCCAATCGAAATTTGAAAACAAAACTGGATAGATTTTATTTTTTCAAAAAATAAAAATAAATTCAAATATTTTTCGCCCAAAAGCTGGACAAGTCCAACCTCACACCTGCCCGGACGACTGACAGCACACTCGTGTGTTTGTTTTGGGTTCAACCCAACCTCACACCACGTACCTATGCCAAAGCCTAGCCTAGCCTAGCCCGCCCAGACGGCGGTGGCACGTGTTTGTTTTGGATCTAATGGATGTAGCCCACTTTGGCCATAACCACTCCCTCTACAAAACTTGAGTGCCCCTTGGGGCTTACCCTAAGTTCCAAACCAAAGCCTTAGAAACCCATAGAAAGTTTGCCTACCAAAGCAATGTGGGACAAACTTTAACGCATTCTTTATGGAAACTTCACCAATATATCATTTCCATGGAGCTCACTTTGGTTTCAATTTCCCATTCACCTGATAATGGTTTTGAGCAACCAAATATATTACATGAATCACAACGCGACATAGAACGCGTTACCACTTAAACTCGCTAACTTTGACGCATGGATCTCACTTAAAAATTAGACCAAAATTTAGAAAAAAAAAAAAATTTCAAAATCATTTCTAACAAAAATAACTATAGTTTATAATTTTGAAGTGCGAAGAATTTACAACTAATTAGTTGAATGAAAAATGAATCATAACTAAATAACATTTAAATTCAAGAGTTTAAACCGTGAATAAGTTAAACTCCTCAAAAGTAGTAGAATCCACTAATAAATAGACGTGAGACTCGCACTATATCTATATATAATAAATTCAAAATCTTGTACCAATTTATCATTACTCCATTACAAAATTGTGCCGACATAATTAAGAAAACAATTTAGATATCCACTGCCCATCCTATTTCAATTTTAAAAAGAACCTATAAATCTTTTTATTTTATTTTTTTCAGATAAAAGAATTGATACAGCATAATGTGCTAAAAAGGAAAAAAGGGGTACATCAACCTATCACACAAAATCTAATGTGTCACTTTGTGAGTGTATCCCTAATATCCCAATACCCATTAGGATGATTCCATCAAAATAACACTTGATCAATATGGCGTCTAAGATGAGAATTTCCCTTGTTACCATTACACTGTATTTGTTAATTTCACAAGCATTTGTTCATGTAGTTAGGGCTGCTGGGGAGTGTGGGAAGATTCCCGTACCCTCAATGCAGCGGCCAAAGTTCTACTAACTTGCTGCACTCTCAAAAAAAAAAAAAATAATAAATAAATAAATCATACTAAGATACAATATAAATGTTCATAATTTACAATTAACATACAATTAAACTTAAAAAAACTAAATTCTTACCAATATGAACATCCACACTGTAACATAAAACAAAATTGAAAGAAAAAAAAAAAAAACTATTTTAATTGTTTAATGGTAATAAAAAATAATTGTTCAAACAATTAGTAATAAAAAACCAATGATATGTGAACATTCACGTCTTGCAAAATATTTAATTACTAGCGTATGCCTGTGCCTGAAGGCACGGTGTAAATAATATTAGGATTAAAATATAATTATAATCTCAACACTATTTAAATTTATTTTTTAATTTGATAAAATCACAAATTTATTATAAAATTTTGGAGTTCTTACAAAACTCCTCACGAAAACTCGCTTTTGCTTATATAATATTTAGCTAGATAGATAGATGTGCCTAGCATACATACAATTTCCATGGACATACATACAATACTTCTTTTACTTATATAATTATATGGGAATTATATGTATGCCCGTAATGTCCTAGTGTATTACGGGCATACATACATTGTGTGGAAATATGAGTAAAATATATTGAACAAAAAGGAGAAAATAAAAAATAAAAAAAAACAAATAGAGAGAAAAATAAAAATGGGAGAAAATAAAAAAAAATAAAAAGAACAAAGAGAGGAAGGTGGGATCATGAGATCATGGAATGATGGATGAGAAAAGGAAACAGTAAGAAAGAGAAGCGGGAAAATAGAAAATATATATATAGGATATTTTTTGAAAAATATATCTCAACCGTTCTTTTATAATTTGAATAGATCTGAGTTGTCCAAATGTCCTAGTAGGACAAATGTGTGCAGGACAAATTCAAAAACCATCCTGTTTTATTATATAGATATCCATATCTATATTCTAACACTTATTTCTTAGACTTTCAAATAATGTGAAATGTGAACATTCATACTGATTAACAAAAAAAAAATTGAAATAATGGCAGCAATAGAATTAGAAATCCAAAAAAAAAAACTCAATGACTCTAAAAGTAAAAAAAATATCACCCATATCTTCATCTTCATCTTCATCTTCATCATCATCTTTATCATTATTACTATCATTAACAATCTATGCAATTTCACCCTTCCACCAATCCAAATCAAATCAAATCCACCTTTGAAGAATATGTTAGAGCATCTCCAACGGTAGTAGGCATTTTACCTATCTAAATATTACTATAAAGTATATATTTTATTTTGCCTATCAACTGTTTTATGTTTTTACTCCAACCATACTCTTTGTTTTAGCTATTTATCCAAATACTATTAATTTTATAGAATGCCACGTCAACAACAAAGATGGAGGGAAATGATCCTAATGATTGAATACATTTTTTGCCTAGCGTTGAAGGCTAGCTACATGTAGCTAGTGAATATGAGTTGAGCCAAAATGCCTAATCATATGCCTAGTGCATTGGAATTGAAAAAAGTGAATCACACTAGGCATTTTAACTAACAAGTATTATATGCCTAGTGCATTGGAGATGCTCTTAATAACAAAATTGAATGGACATAAATAGAGTTTCGACTTACAATAATAGAGAAACATAAAGTTTTGAATACAGAGCAATAATAGACAAATGTGTGGGTAAAAATCTGACCACACTGCCCGTTTAGTGATCAGCAGCAAAGCACCGGCAGAATAGATGGCTCCGACAACCTGTAACAGAAAGAAAAAGCTCCGGCGGTGGTTCTTCCACCCGGGGGCCCTCCGACGATCAAGTCAGTATGTTTCTCAAGGATAATCAAGTATTAAACTGAATACTCAAAGTATGAATTACATACCTTAGACGGTGGGTAGGCATTGAAATAAATAAAGATAAATATATATTTTAGTTAAAAATATAGACAATATTATTTTTCATTCATACAATTAACGAGTTATTAATGAAAATGATCTAATTATTATGTGAATTAAAACTTCAAGGAAGACTTGTGTAATCATCTCAAAAGTATAGGACTAATTATATATTTTTTTCTTTCTAAATCTTAGGTTAAGTGAGTGTGGGTATTGATTTCCAATTACACAACCAAACAGGAAACTCAGTTGGAGAGCACGGGCAGAATAGGCTAAACCCAAACAACCTGTCACAGAAAGATAAGAATCTAGCGGTGGTTCGTCCACCCCGGAGCATTCCGACGATCAAGTTAGTAATCAAAAATCTCTCAAAGATAGCAAATTGTGCTTAACTCACAAGAAATAACAGTATATCACACATAAAAACATACCTTAAACCCACGAGGCTATCTTGCTTTTATAGCCAACACTAACCTGATTCTTACAGAAGCCTCACTTAAGTAGACTCAGGTTCAATGTTTATCCTGGACTCCCTAAGAGCTTTATCCTTATCCAGACTGAGATCTTCCCCCGTTTTAGGACTCCTGTATCTTATCCGCTTTGCTCGAATTCCGATATCTCCGCAGACAACCTTAGCCTAGCCGAGATCACTTTGACACAAAGACCAGACCATGTGACACCTCGGCTGACACTTCAGCGTCACCTTGGCCACACGTTGTCATCCACAAAATATGTCTCCACAGTGAGTGTAATTTACTTAAATTTTAAGAATAATGATTCAAGTGTTTTGATTTGAAAGTGTTATGTAACGTCCCAACTTCTGGACCGTTAGTAAATGAATTTAAAATTTTAACTAATTGATAATCTCAAAAATAAAAATCGTCTCCAAAATAATTACACAAATGTCTCCAAAATAATATATACAAATCTCAAAAAATAATATATAGTGGTGGCTCCAAAATATCTAACGTAGTAAATCTTTTAATGCTCAAGCTCTAATCACTACTAAATTTGCTTCACATCTGAAAAATAAATTAATTCGAGAAGTATACAATATGACAGGAATAACAATGCTTGGATAGAGAATAAATTAATAAGGATCTAACAATTTATGACATAGCACAAACGATATGATAATCAAGCAATTTACCAAATTGCACAGACAAATCTACTCAACATATGATAACTTGTCTAGGACCAAATACCCGGTTCTATTCAATTCATGATCAGTGATCGGCCTCACCCACCTCACCCAAACACAACCGCTTATCCGAGCATATTGGTGCAAGCTATTGGCTAGATCCTCTTGATCTATGTATATAGAATTTTCATGTCATTTAGTCAGACAGATCAACATTTCTAACACTGAATAACATCATAGGATTTATCAAATGACTAGAGTAATCAAGCATATCAACACAGAATGATTTCACAGAATTTATTAAACGATCAATATAAACAAACGGAGTACAAATTTAAAGTAATTAAAATGAAATTCTTTGTAAAGAGATTTAAAGGAAGTATATTATTTACTATCCGAATTACCATAAATCAATCTTCTCCTTTGCTAACACTCTAATTAATCGACAATTTTCCATCGATCTCCAAAAATGATGGATCAAAATTCTAAGGCATAAGGTATGTAAGATTTGACAAAATGTATAACTCTCTTCTTCTCTCAGTTGTGGGGTGTATATAGGTGGTGTATGAGTGTGTTGTTTGTTCCAAAATGTGGAGGCAAATGGAGTATTTATAGTGTGTGGGTGATTTTCCGACCACACTGCCCGTTTAGTGATCAGCAGCAAAGCACCGGCAGAATAGATGGCTCCAACAACCTGTAACAGAAAGGAAAAGCTCCGGCGGTGGTTCTCACCAACAGCCACAACCTTAACTGCTTCTACATCTCGGACAGATCAAGAGTCCACATCTGACCCAGCCGATCTTCCATCAACTTCGGCCCCCTTCTTAATACCAATTCCTGAACGTAAACGCCGACGAAGGCTAGTAAAGACTGCCGAGATGGTTCGTCCAAGGCCTGTCGTCCAAGATCTTCTTGCCGACATTCCAGCTGACGCCGAAGCCGCAGCAACGCAATCAATGCTTCCACCCAAACAAAAGAGAGTAAAAAAGGCTCAGCCTAAGGCCAAGGCTACAGACGCCGAGGCTGAGGATGCTCTGCCGATTTCGAAGCTAGCTGAAAGCAAAAAATCGGCCTCTACTTCAACCAAAAGGTCTGCTGAGGGCCAACCCTCAGGATCTACACAAACAAAGAGGCCAAGGTCATCGTCTGCGACGACCTCGGCTTCAAAGAAGCCTGACATCCCATGGGCCCCTGATCTTTCTCTGGAGGACAGGCCTATCATGGCTAGTGAAAGTGCTGATGATATCAACGTTGCTGTTGCCCTTAGCACTGCTCTTCTTCTACCGAATGACTTGGAGCGAAATGCCAAGTTCAGTGAGTATGAAAATTACGCTCTGATGCTCCAACACTCTGCTCAAGTAAGTATTTCTATTTGTATTTATGTTTCTTCCTTCTTTTTCTTTCTGAGAAAATTTTCTGATACTTCTGTTTGCATTCAGGCTATCCAACATGCCCACTCATTTTCAATGCAATCCTTTGAGAATCGTCAAAGATTGGTTGATATGAAGAGGGAAGCGACCTCAATGAAGAGAGAATTAAGGGCTCTTGAGGTAAAAATGAAGAAACTAGAGGATCAAGCCGAGGCTGCGACGAAGAACCAAACCTTAGCTCTTGAGAAGGCCGAAGCTGCTGAGGCCGTTAAAAAAGTAGCTGAGGCCGAGAAAAGGGAGGCCGAGGCTCAGAAGGTCCAAGCGCAAAAAGAACTTCAACAAGCTCTGGCCACCAAGGAGGCCGAAGTCAAGGAGGCCGATGAAAAGGCCTATGCTCAAGGCATGGCCGATGTTGCAGAAGAATACAAACTTCAAGTCAGGCAGGCATGCAACAGGGGATTTTCCCTTGGTTGGATGTCTCTGATAAAGAAGCTTGATCTCCCTGCTGACTCGCCATTGCGCCAAGTTGATGCTAATCTTTTACCATTTCTTCCTTCAAGTCAAGCTGAGGATGAATCAGAGACCGAGGTAGAAGCTGAGGGTGAAGACGAAGAGAAAGATGAAGGTGAAGCCTTGGTGAGAAAACCCAAGGGCGCTACTGAGGCCAAGTCCTTTCCAGCTGAGCAAATTTTAGACTTAACTCAAGATGAAGTGGGTGATGAGGCTGAGGAAGTGCCCAGGGAACCTGTTCAGGGGTGTCCATCATCTGATCTTCTTCTGACTGACAGAAGTCTTGACACAACTTTAGCAGAGATCGATGCCGAAATACGAGCGGAGAAGGTGGCCGAGGATATTCCAGCTGAATCCTCCGAGGTTCCAGTTTCTGCTGCTGCTGATGTTCAAGAGTCTTGATTTTCCCTTCTTTCTTTTCTGGATTTTGGACTTTGTTCTTTCTTTTAATTCCCGAACAATGTACATTCCTTCTTGTGGCCGATGTGCCTTTTTTCAGTATGTAATTGCAACTGTTCTTGCAAAGGATATTTTTGATCTTGTGATGTTCTGTTGCTTGCTTCTGCACAGTTCTATACTTAGAAATTTTTGCATGCTTTCTTTGTGCAGTCTTCTCGGGGTTACATACCTTGGGTATAACTGCAAGGCTTTTACTTCGGCAGGATACTGACCTGTAAACCTTGTATAAATTCTGTCAAGAAAACACATACTACTCAATGTATAGAAATTTTTGCATGCTTTCTTTGTGCAATCTTCTCGGGGCTACATACCCTGGGTATAACTGTAAGGCTTTTACTTCGGCGAGATACTGACCTTTGCATCGACCCGTTAATTTTCTGTATACCTCAGCGGGTGATCATACGTCGGCTTAACATAACCTTGTAAATGGCTACAACTTTCAACAAGTGTTAAGCATCTTCTCTAGGGTTCAGACAACCCACATATTGCTATGAGAATTTACGCAATAACCTCGGCCTATCTTCGACTTGTAAATTGCTACAAATTTCAACAAGTGAAGGTAGGGATAACATCGGCTTAACTTCAACTTGTAAATTGCTACAAATTTCAACAAGTGGATCAAGGAATAACATCGGCTTAACTTCAACTTGTAAATTGCTACAAATTTCAACAAGTGGATCAAGGAATAACATCGGCTTAACTTCAACTTGTAAATTGCTACAAATTTCAACAAGTGCTTTCTTTGTGTGCAATCTTCTCGGGGCTACACCCTGGGTATAACTGCAAGGCTTTTACTTCGGCAGGATATTGACCTGCAAACCTTGTATAAATTCTGTCAAGAACTAAACATATACTACTCAATGTATACTTTTGTCTTCTTTTTTTTTTAAGTTTTCAATAAGTATTTAGACAATGATTTCGTTCTAACCTACTTGTAAATTGCTGCAAATTCCAACAAGTGTTTTAAATAATATACTTAACCTTTGCATCGACCCGTTAATTTCCTGTATACCTCAGCGGGTGTTCATACGTCGGCTTAACATAACCTTGTAAATGGCTACAACTTTCAACAAGTGTTAAGCATCTTCTCTAGGTTTCAGACAACCCATATATTGCTATGAGAACTTACGCAATAACCTCGGCCTATCTTCGACTTGTAAATTGCTACAAATTTCAACAAGTGAAGGTAGGGAATCAGCTGGATTCCAACTTGTAAATTGTTACAAATTTCAACAAGTGGATCAAGGAATAACATCGGCTTAGCTTTAACTTGTAAATTGCTACAAATTTCAACAAGTGAAGATAAGGAATCAGCTTGATTCCAACTTGTAAGTTGCTACAAATTTTAACAAGTGGATCAAGGAATTATATCGGCTTAACTTCAACTTGTAAATTGCTACAAATTTCAACAAGTGAAGGTAAGGAATCATATCGGCTTAACTTCAACTTGTAAATTGCTACAAATTTCAACAAGTGAAGATAAGGAATCAGCTTGATTCCAATTTGTAAATTGCTACAAATTTCAACAAGTGGATCAAGGAATAATATCGGCTTAGTTCGCCTGAGTTTGATATGTCTTCAATAACCATTAATCATACGTGTTGAGAGAATTCTGAAAAGACTTTATTGATAATATCGGCCAAACAATGATGTTTATCTAATGATAGAAGAATTTCAAGTTACAAGTATCCCAAGGTCTGGGTAGTGCTTTGCCCTCATTGTCTTCAAGCCGATATGCTCCATTGCCCAATACTGAAGTAACTCTGTAGGGTCCTTCCCAGTTCGGGCCAAGCTTGCCTTCCCTGGGATCCTTCTTGTTTCCGACGACTTTTCTTAGGACTAAGTCGCCAACTTGAAAATCCCTTGGATTAACCTTCTTGTTGTAAGCTCTGGCAAGCTGTTGCTGGTATACTGCAAGCTGAATTGCAGCCTTCTCTCTTCGTTCTTCACCGCTTGAACACTCAGTGCATCACAATATAATCATAGCCCACAACAACATAGTCAAAATACGTGTTTGGTAATATCAACAAAAACCTGTTCATTTTAATCTATTCAATAAAATATCAACAAAAAGATAAGATCCATCACAATATAATCATAGCCCACAACAACATAGTCAAAATACGTGTTTGGTAATATCAACAAAAACCTGTTCATTTTAATCTATTCAATAAAATATCAACAAAAAGATAAGATCCATCACAATATAATCATAGCCCACAACAACATAGTCAAAATACGTGTTTGGTAATATCAACAAAAACCTGTTCATTTTAATCTATTCAATAAAATATCAACAAAAAGATAAGATCCATCACAATATAATCATAGCCCACAACAACATAGTCAAAATACGTGTTTGGTAATATCAACAAAAACCTGTTCATTTTAATCTATTCAATAAAATATCAACAAAAAGATAAGATCCATCACAATATAATCATAGCCCACAACAACATAGTCAAAATACGTGTTTGGTAATATCAACAAAAACCTGTTCATTTTAATCTATTCAATAAAATATCAACAAAAAGATAAGATCCATCACAATATAATCATAGCCCACAACAACATAGTCAAAATACGTGTTTGGTAATATCAACAAAAACCTGTTCATTTTAATCTATTCAATAAAATATCAACAAAAAGATAAGATCCATCACAATATAATCATAGCCCACAACAACATAGTCAAAATACGTGTTTGGTAATATCAACAAAAACCTGTTCATTTTAATCTATTCAATAAAATATCAACAAAAAGATAAGATCCATCACAATATAATCATAGCCCACAACAACATAGTCAAAATACGTGTTTGGTAATATCAACAAAAACCTGTTCATTTTAATCTATTCAATAAAATATCAACAAAAAGATAAGATCCATCACAATATAATCATAGCCCACAACAACATAGTCAAAATACGTGTTTGGTAATATCAACAAAAACCTGTTCATTTTAATCTATTCAATAAAATATCAACAAAAAGATAAGATCCATCACAATATAATCATAGCCCACAACAACATAGTCAAAATACGTGTTTGGTAATATCAACAAAAACCTGTTCATTTTAATCTATTCAATAAAATATCAACAAAAAGATAAGATCCATCACAATATAATCATAGCCCACAACAACATAGTCAAAATACGTGTTTGGTAATATCAACAAAAACCTGTTCATTTTAATCTATTCAATAAAATATCAACAAAAAGATAAGATCCATCACAATATAATCATAGCCCACAACAACATAGTCAAAATACGTGTTTGGTAATATCAACAAAAACCTGTTCATTTTAATCTATTCAATAAAATATCAACAAAAAGATAAGATCCATCACAATATAATCATAGCCCACAACAACATAGTCAAAATACGTGTTTGGTAATATCAACAAAAACCTGTTCATTTTAATCTATTCAATAAAATATCAACAAAAAGATAAGATCCATCACAATATAATCATAGCCCACAACAACATAGTCAAAATACGTGTTTGGTAATATCAACAAAAACCTGTTCATTTTAATCTATTCAATAAAATATCAACAAAAAGATAAGATCCATCACAATATAATCATAGCCCACAACAACATAGTCAAAATACGTGTTTGGTAATATCAACAAAAACCTGTTCATTTTAATCTATTCAATAAAATATCAACAAAAAGATAAGATCCATCACAATATAATCATAGCCCACAACAACATAGTCAAAATACGTGTTTGGTAATATCAACAAAAACCTGTTCATTTTAATCTATTCAATAAAATATCAACAAAAAGATAAGATCCATCACAATATAATCATAGCCCACAACAACATAGTCAAAATACGTGTTTGGTAATATCAACAAAAACCTGTTCATTTTAATCTATTCAATAAAATATCAACAAAAAGATAAGATCCATCACAATATAATCATAGCCCACAACAACATAGTCAAAATACGTGTTTGGTAATATCAACAAAAACCTGTTCATTTTAATCTATTCAATAAAATATCAACAAAAAGATAAGATCCATCACAATATAATCATAGCCCACAACAACATAGTCAAAATACGTGTTTGGTAATATCAACAAAAACCTGTTCATTTTAATCTATTCAATAAAATATCAACAAAAAGATAAGATCCATCACAATATAATCATAGCCCACAACAACATAGTCAAAATACGTGTTTGGTAATATCAACAAAAACCTGTTCATTTTAATCTATTCAATAAAATATCAACAAAAAGATAAGATCCATCACAATATAATCATAGCCCACAACAACATAGTCAAAATACGTGTTTGGTAATATCAACAAAAACCTGTTCATTTTAATCTATTCAATAAAATATCAACAAAAAGATAAGATCCATCACAATATAATCATAGCCCACAACAACATAGTCAAAATACGTGTTTGGTAATATCAACAAAAACCTGTTCATTTTAATCTATTCAATAAAATATCAACAAAAAGATAAGATCCATCACAATATAATCATAGCCCACAACAACATAGTCAAAATACGTGTTTGGTAATATCAACAAAAACCTGTTCATTTTAATCTATTCAATAAAATATCAACAAAAAGATAAGATCCATCACAATATAATCATAGCCCACAACAACATAGTCAAAATACGTGTTTGGTAATATCAACAAAAACCTGTTCATTTTAATCTATTCAATAAAATATCAACAAAAAGATAAGATCCATCACAATATAATCATAGCCCACAACAACATAGTCAAAATACGTGTTTGGTAATATCAACAAAAACCTGTTCATTTTAATCTATTCAATAAAATATCAACAAAAAGATAAGATCCATCACAATATAATCATAGCCCACAACAACATAGTCAAAATACGTGTTTGGTAATATCAACAAAAACCTGTTCATTTTAATCTATTCAATAAAATATCAACAAAAAGATAAGATCCATCACAATATAATCATAGCCCACAACAACATAGTCAAAATACGTGTTTGGTAATATCAACAAAAACCTGTTCATTTTAATCTATTCAATAAAATATCAACAAAAAGATAAGATCCATCACAATATAATCATAGCCCACAACAACATAGTCAAAATACGTGTTTGGTAATATCAACAAAAACCTGTTCATTTTAATCTATTCAATAAAATATCAACAAAAAGATAAGATCCATCACAATATAATCATAGCCCACAACAACATAGTCAAAATACGTGTTTGGTAATATCAACAAAAACCTGTTCATTTTAATC